CTGCGGGGGGCGTTCATCGCACATCAGTGAGGTTGCTCTTGTCACCAAACAACTTGACGAGCTGCTCCTCGTAGTCATCGATGTTGCGCTTCATTATCTCCATGCAGGGACCCAGCAGGCGCTCGAATGTCTCCACGTCCAAGACTGCAATTAGAATTTTAACTTTATATTACACAGCTTTTAGTAACTTTACAATTCAGTGTTGCCAGTATAAAATACCAACGTAAAATTTTTTAAACTTTATGAATTATCAAAATTATGACATGTATATTTTTTTAAAGTGGTTCAAGTTCCATATATAAAAGTATAGTGTCTCAGTTATATTATGTATATGACATTAGTATAATATATAATATCTTGGTGTAACACTCACAGGCGACCTTGGTGGGTCCGACGGCGTAAGCGGAAGCGGCGCGCGGCTTGTGGGTCACCAGAGCCAGCTCTCCGAAGTAACCGCCCTTGCCTAAACATATTCACTAATTAAATTACACATTTCATTTTTAATTTAAACTATTTAATAGTGTCTAGTAACAACATATTACATCATCGGCATTTATCTGTTCGAAGGTATCTTTAGTGGGACGTTGAGAGCATATAATAATTCAATCCTATGTCTAAAATCCAGATTCCAGAATAGAGGTTTAGATGGACCTTTACTTGTGGTCTTATTGACGAAGCATTTATATTTATTATTTTGTTTATATATAGGGTCGATTAAATATTTTTTTTAAACTTTGTGATGTTTACAGAAAAGTGTGTATTCTAGTTAGAATGCTATATTTGTGTTGTCAGTGTGTCGTACCGAGGCGTTTGATCTCATGGTCGTTGCCATCGTCGCGTGTGATGCGGATGCTGACGGAGCCGTCCTCCACAAAATACATGCCGTCAGCGGTGTCTCCCTGCCGGATGATCAGCTCCCCGTCGATCAGAGAGCGAGGCAGCAGCGCGTCCGCCAAGTTGGCGCGCTCGTACGGCTGAAAGAAACATTATATTGAAAAAACACTAATAATAAGCAAAAGAAAAAACAATGTCTGACTGCTTTAATATAATTGAGTAAAACACTTCTTTAGGCAATTTCGATAACGACCGTGAACAATTGTCAGTCGACAAAACAATGATGATAACCCTAACACAATAATTGGTCACTAAGGAAAACGCATAGTGCGATCATACTACACTAAGAGGACTGAACTCTGCGTGTGGCAGTTAAACTTCTTAATTTAAATGGAGTAATGTCATTTACAATAATCTTACTAATATTTTATATGCGAATGTTTAGATGGATGAATATTTGTTTGAAGGTAGAACATAGCCTGGCAGAACACATAGGCTACTATTGTTTTTTTAATTACGCGCGGACGGAGATGTAGACGACAGCTAGTTTAGAGATAAAATGAAGAGGTAAAACTTTTGTTGCAGTAATACAGTTATTTATGCATTGTTTTATGTGATCACTGATGCATTGGAACTTGTGTACTCTATTAGTGAATAACGCTAGTACTATCGCCGGCCTAGTTATGCGGAACAGTGGAAGCCGGTGCCTGGATGACTATTTTTACTTCGTATAAGGTAGTTGATCATCATATTTGCTATAGGCAACTTTCGCCTTTTATTATACGTATGAAAAGCCTACTTAAATACGTAAAATAGTCAAATGGTATTGATGCCTACAATTACAATTAAGTCTTAAAAATGTGGTTTTAAAAATTTAGTTTTAACAGTGGTAGAGCCCGCTTTAACATCTTCGCACGAATTGGCCCCGCTGGCCTGGTGAAATACCACGACCACACAGAATACAGGCGTGAAGTGGAAGCTATTCCGCGTCAGCAATTCGTCTGATGAGTGTGCGTCCCGGAGGCCTAATTTAGTCCTCTTTCCCTTCCAACCCTTTTCTTATAGGGAAAGGATGGGAAGTTATTTTCTTTCTATGCATCCTCTCCTCCGCCGATTAAAGGTAGTCAAGGCATATGCAATTGAGTATGTCTATGGGCAACCGTCACTTCGCTACTTTAGCCCCCAAAACCCCCTATACATAAAATTTTATGAAAATCGTTGGAGCCGATGCCGAGATTCCAAGTATATATATAATTGAATTATAAAGGATAAAAGCAATTAAGAAAAAAAAAAATAGGCAGTTGCCTTGACAGCCAATTTAAAGGCAGCCAATTTCGCATAGGGTGCATTAGTTCGTTGGCTTTCAAGGCGTTAGGTCGTGTCAAAGTGCGTAGTGAAGAAGAAGAAGAAGAAGAAGAAGAAGAAGAAGAAGAAGAAGAAGAAGAAGAAGAAGCAGAAGAAGAAGCAGAAGAAGAAGCAGAAGAAGAAGCAGAAGAAGAAGCAGAAGAAGAAGCAGAAGAAGAAGCAGAAGAAGAAGCAGAAGAAGAAGCAGAAGAAGAAGAAGAAGAAGAAGAAGAAGAAGAAGAAGAAGAAGAAGAAGAAGAAGAAGAAGAAGAAGAAGAAGAAGAAGAAGAAGAAGAAGAAGAAGAAGAAGAAGAAGATTACCTAACCACCCAAATTGCATATCATTTTTTTTTTGTATATTTGTAAGGTATATCGTATTGTAAAAATAAATATGTATGGTACGGAAGAACGGAGCATTCTGTCACAGGTATTATATAATTAAAAGGATGCTCCAACAACTGATGTATATTTTTTGTGTACTTTGGTTTAAATAAATCATTATTATTATTATCTAGGGGAGTTTGTACTAGTCTGCTTTCTTACTATTATTAAGGACAATAATATATATTAATAATCGCCCAGTAAAATTGGTGGAGTCAGTCTAATAAGACAGGAGACATGTTGTAAATTACTCGCGCATCAACAAACCTGCGCCACTGGCCGGCTTGCGTGCGTATTGATTGATTGACCGTAAGGCTAAGTTAACACGAGGACAGGACAGTGATACAGACCAGTAGAGTTCAGTCTCACTGCGTTTAGCGATATTGTAAATTGTAAGGTGAAAAAATTATTAGATATACATTCATTTTCAGATAAATGCAACTTGATCTAGGGGCTGACTATCGCGTGTCTTGTGTGGGTTCAAACAGTAACAGTACTGAACTGTTCAACTGTTCTGTTGTAGTGTTATGTACTCGTGTGAAACTAGCAAACTCACGGATCACGGACAGTTGGCAAGCAGCTCGCTTACCTTCGCTGCTGTGCGCTCGATGACGTAAACATATGTTTGGAAAGTGTTTTATTATATAGTTTATGTCTCGTAATATTTAGCTTGGTGTAATACGAATAACTAAAATGAAGGCATAAGCATGTTGGTTTAAACAGAATTGTACAATTTTAGGTTTCAATATTTCGATAAGCAAATATTTGACTTTCGCAAACCATCTAAATTGTAGGTCCATTCAAAAACTTATAGCAAGGCTTTCGTTTAGGAAATTATTTAGGTCATATACTAAAAATGTCAAGCATGCACTAGGTTAACCGTTTTAAACCAGTTTAAGAATAAGAATGTGTTAATTGGTTTGATAACCAGCTGTTTGAATTGTTTTACTATAAAAACGAAATAGTAATGTTAAAAATACAAACATACTTAAAAATAAAATACTTTCTCCTAAGGATAATGACTTTGAATGAGTAATTAAACATTTATTTCATTGTCTCGTCGGCCTAAAATTGCGTCGCGTGACTCCACCGCGCTGACGCCATCTTACGTCATAGAGCGTGATCTTCGAATAAATATAACGCGATCACTTTAATACTATTTTAAACGAGAATACCGTTTTCCATAGAATTTTCCGCAAAATGTTAGACTGCCACCTGAAGATAGATATTTAAGCGTACATAAAGACTAACAGCGTAAAGAAACAAGTTATAATAGATAGCATTACTAAAATACCAGCTAGCTATGTCAGATATGATGTATAGTCAAATTCAATGGAAACGAGAAGTTATATTTGCACATGTCACTGGCTGGCATTTATTGTCTATGGTATTTGTGATCACAGCCTAAAAAAAGCTAAAATTCTTTATATATATGTGTTACAATTGATCATTTCCATTTAATTAAGCTAACCTTTGGTATTTTTTTCGATAATTTAAATGTAATTTATAAAAAAGAAATCGTAACAGTTTAAAAATTTAAATTGATTCAGTAGCGACTACTTAATTGTCACGTATCAATTCGAAAACAATTCATTATCCAGTTGATTAACATCTTATTTGCCAATCGTATTTAAGATAAGAAATTGTCGGCATTTTTGTACTTTTCGTTCAAAATTCTATTTACATTGTACAATTTGTTTATTAATACATTATTTTATTTATTTTCCTAGAGTTGCATTTTATTACAAAAAATTAAATCACCTAATAAAGGCATAATTTAAATGTTTGTTTAGTGATTAATAAGTAATAAACATTACAGTTTTCATAACGTGTTGATATATGAGCATAGATTATCTTATAATCGGTTGATCGTTTTATATCGTGCTGTAGATTCACCACAGATTAGATTATAAAATACCTGATTTAATTTTAATTCTGGCCAAATTGTATACTTAAACAAGTGGTCGTGTGGTTTTTTTAACTATTTATTGAATAGTTACTTAGATTATAAAAATAGCGCGCCTTCCTGTAGCACACTTATATCCAATGAACGTCTAATGAACCATTGTTGCCAGCATAGGAAAAAAGTTTATAATAATTTGAATGTTGCCAATACAAAAAGAAATTAATAAGAATGAAACAAAAACAATAAATAATTTATGTGAATTAATTGAACACAAATGAAGCTTCTCAATTCACTTATAAAAAAAATAAGTTATATTTTACTAATGTTATAAATACGAACGTTTAAATGAATGGATGTTTGTTAAAAGGTATAGACAAAACGGATAAACGAACCGAGATAAAATTAGGCATAAATATAGAACATAAACTGAAAGAATACATAGACTAATATTTTTATTTTAATTCCGCGTGGGCGGAGTCGCGGGCGACCGCTAGTATCATTGTATTACGATCCCTTACAACAGATCATAAGCATATAAAATCGTCTTATTGGAACAGAAATATTCAATATAAATTCATTCAAACACTACTCGCGTATTTATACCACGGTCATCACTCTATTGCTAATTATGTATTTAGTAAATTATATAACGATTATATAATCGACAGGCAAGAGCGAGATACAGTCAAGTCTGTCGTTCAATATATCTCGAATAACGTCACGGGATTACGTGCGGACGGCGTTTACGTTATACCACAGATAAATTGATGGTATTTCGATAATATTGCACTACGTCACATCGATTGTTACATCCGATTATTTTTATATCGATATAGATCGATAATTTCGTATAATCGACTTGTGCACTTGATAAAATTTGATTACGATCATAATTTGAAAAGTACTTCAACGTCTCAAGTGTAATATCGAACGGAGTAGAATTTTCTAAAATGTCGCAAACACTCTTCTTGCTATAACAACTAATTTGAAATATCATCACAATTTTCAATTATACAAATTTACTTTACAATTATCGTTCAAAGAACACACAAAGGTCGGAAAGACAGCAAAATATACAAACTTCTAATTATAACATCGGCCAACTTACACGTACGGAACACGTTAAGGCGCTCACATGGTCAAGCCCACCTGTTCAGTGTAGCGAGAACATTGCTGAGGCGGGTTTAAACTGTTAACATCAATCAGCTTGTATAAGCAAACAGGGAACATCACGCCCCTACACGTCATATGTGATGAACAACGATCATAGGATTACGATATGAGCAAGAACAATAATTACGATCTAGCCAGTACTTAAAATTCTAAAAAAAAGTAAGTAAACTTTTTTTTATAAAAAAATCATAACTCAATGATAATTGGCACTCAGTATCTTTCTAGTATCAAGTGAACCTTGACCTATGGCTCGTAGCAAATTGGATCAAAGTTCATAAAAGGCAGGTCACACTAAGCAGCACCGAATAGGGCTGTAGTTAATTTAAAATCCGTCATAAACAACTGAACAGTTTCGACCTTCGCTTGTTAATTCATTCTCGAATGGCAGCTCATTGCTTTACTGAATAATTAGGTAAATACTTATGATTTTAACATAATTATGGTCTTTAATGTAATATTGACTATGTAAAAACACCATGTATAAGATATGCTTGTGACCTGTTTGTTTATTTCTATTATAAGATATAAGACTAGCTGCCATATACAGTATGTTATCACTTAGGGATACTCTAAGACTAGGAATAGTAGCGAATAAAGAACAGATTTAACAGTATCGACGTTAGAAAAAGTTGAAAAGAGGTCACAGTAAATGAAAACTTTTTGGGCGTCACAAATCTTTCAAACTGTTCACGATCGATTCTGTTTACTTGTTTATATTAGTACCATCATGTTTCCTGTAAAGTTTCTAGGAATAAGATATTGCGGATTATGTACCGTATATTAAAATTAAAACATTGGTAATGTAAGTTCGCTAGCTGTAAGGAAGGAACAGTACTAACTTAACGTGTTACGTAACTCAATAAAAGGCGTGTATAATGCTCCGATAATATCGTTATGCTATTTATATTTAATGAAATAAAACAATTTAATAACCAATTTATTTGGTTTTTTGTTTGGTTACTTTATAAATTGTTTATTTGTGCATTTGGATTATAAGTAGTTTCCCCGTTTTATATTTCGTTCTTTTTTAATAGTGTAAATAACATCCAAAATTAAATATAGTAGTTGGACAACGTTTACTATTAAAACATTTAACAAGGTAATAAGGGATTTAACTGAATTGACGCAGCGGCAAATCTGACCTCTGACATCTAGCAAATTGGACGTTGTAAATGCTACCGAATCAAGCCAACGATAGGTCAGGAAATTAAAGAAATTGCATAATTTATTAGATTAACATTTAAAATTGTAATTAGGTAAATAAATGTAGTCAAAGAATATACAGATTTAGAAAACATATAGATTTGTTTATTCCTGGACTAAATTTGTAACTCCGACTCATATTTTTACGATCAAAACATATTTTTCTCAGTGAGAATAAAGCAAATATTATACTAATTTAAGACCGCCAGCTTGAAAACCGCTTACAATGACAACTCCTTTCAACAAAGCGTGCGAAGGGAGGCAGCTGTTGTTTTTTTTTTAATCTTTTCAACAACACAAAGCGGTTTAAAGTTGTTCCACTTTGTTTGAGAGAATGATCCTATTAAATGTAACAATTCGAGTCGAGTACGCCTCAGCTTTTTACAAGAGACTTTTGTTGGACCGCTACAACACGGGCCTTTGGGGAAAATTTACTCACTCATACTTGAAGGTACAGGACTGACACATTTTTATACACACGATGTAGTTCTTTATACGTGTGTATTTTTTGAGACCATGTGTCTTGGATAAATATAGTACCTATTTGTGTATATGTAAGCAGGGTTGTTTAAGTTCTTGACAGATTTCTAAGCAATTATTCTGTAATATGCTAGTACAGTAACAAATTGGTTATACATTCAAAAATCGATACGGCGACAGAAGAATAATAACTAAAAATAATATTTTTTCAGAAAGGTTTTGTTGGGGTAAGGGAATTAAGGAACAAAACTAAGGTAAAACATCGCATAACTCTAGAATCTGTACGTAAATGTCACTAGGTCAAAAAAAATAGAATTATTTCGTATATACGTAACATTAAAAAATAATCTTTTAAGTTAAAACGTTTAATTAATTATGAAGTGTGTAGAATCCAAAGAGCTGTTATAGATTTAACTTTTCTCGCAACAAATGAGATTGAAAAACTAATTAAAGTGTGATAAACCAAACCGTTACGGTGCTTACGCGATTAGTTTTGTTTAATAAACCGAAAGGAGAATTAAATTGAAAATATTTTTTTATTTCATACACTCGCTGTCGCCCGCGACTCCGTTCGCGCAGAGATATTAAAATAAGTAGCCTATGTATCCTTCCAGACTGTATTCTATAGGTATGCCAAATTTCATGGAAATCCGTTCAGCCGTTTTGGATGTACTTCAAACAAACAAACATCCATCTACCATAAACATTCGCATTTATAATTTAAGTAAGATTAAATTTTAAATGAAAAAGGAAATGATAAATATGATAATTAAAAAAAAAAACAAGTATATTAAGCTGTACATTTTTCAAGGTAACATAGAGTAGTAGAAGCCAAAGCAATATTTTTTTAAAATTGTCATCTATATTGTCTTTTGGCGCGTGTTTTCCATGGCCTATTTTTAACGTGATTGTTTTTTACTGTCGTCTCACTTAAAATAAAAAGTTTTATGTAATGCGAATGAGTCTACTCAAGGTAAAAACTACAGTTATGTACCACGTTACATTTTTAAACAGAGTTCATGGTAAGTTACTTTACACACCCATATTTTTCTAACGAGATTACTTAAGTATGGTTCGGAAATTTTTATTTATTGAAGAGATGTATTTTTTTGGTAAAATTTGTGAAGTTTAGAGTATTATATTCAAAGAAGGATATCTTGGTCGGTAAGAGGCACTATCGCAGTTAGCTTTCAGAAAATATGTAAAACCTACAAGGGGATTTGTAGCAATTTTTGACATTGGCAGGAGGGCGCTAGTGAGCTATCACCATAGAGTTTGATTAACGCCTAATTGGTCAGATATCCTTGTCGGACTATACATATGTGCAGTGTGACCGACTACAAGACAAAGGAAGTACAAATAAATCTGGGAACATTGTTGGTTCGACTGAGAGCGTAACACATTCACACCGATTCGCCTAGCTAGGTACTTAAATTTTATTTCACTGCTGGCGACTAAGAGTACAAGTAGACTAGAAAAATGCGACATATGAAAAAAAACTTCGTATAAATCGTAATTGCAACATGTAAATAATTCATCCTCCAAGATACAGTATACGTAAACGTACTAAGCGAAGTCATTGGCACTTGTTATTGTTACAAGATACTGAGTGGATTGTGTCATACAATTCGCATTAAGTAATTAAGCCCGGGTCACATCACACGCTACTATATTTTATCTCATACAGTATGATTCACACTTGACGTGCGAAACGTGTAACTAATACGGGCTCGTTAATTTGACGTTTTAAGCATTTTAAACTGAGATGTTTTTAAACGAGCTTAGGATATATTTACTCAAAGGTACGCTTAAGTCTACGGACTTAATAGTCTAGTGACTAGGGTTTGTGCCGAACTGAAATTATGCGTGACTACCATACTTAGGTAATATACTCGTTGTCCATGAGGACTTCTTGTACTGCTTATATATCTATCTATATATCTGTATCTTAGAACACATCCGACACACAAATATACCTGGCTTAGTAAGTCCGGAAAAATGATGTTGGAAAGTATAATAGCTTAATGCATTGTAAGGTTGTGTAGAACAATTGTATTACAGGGCCTAGAATGGATTAGCCGTGAATCCTTGGAAAGATTTACTACGTAGATACGCACTTATATTTGTTAATTCATAACTTTTCAATGAACAGAATTACTTGAAAATTGACATATGATAAAATAAAAATAATTTCAAGACCAGATTATATACAAGAGATAAAAGTCTGAGGTCAGAAGATTGACAACACAAAAATAAAGAAGTGTCGTTACCTGGAGTGCCTTCAGCATGGGCACCTTGTCGAGCAGCTCCTCGTACAGCTTGCGCTTCTTGAAGGCGCTCTTGAGAAGGATGCGGCGGAAGGTGTGCCGGTCCATGGCCCACAGCGCGCCCGCTGACTGAGCGCGCACTGACGCAGCACGAGGCATGTTGTACATCAGAGCCAGCTCCCCGAATGAACCGGAGCCCTCATATGTGTGCACCACCTATATTATACAATCCTATTAAGATCCTTATTTCACCGACTCATAGTCGCATTATTGGAAGGAAGGTGTAAGATCTTACTGAAGTACGAGATAGTAGTTGATTGTAACTTATTTATTATAATATTAAATTTATAATTTGTTCCAGATGTTATTAATTGCAGTGGACAGAATAACAGTCTCCTTTTTCTCTAAATGTCTGGCCTATTATTTAGTGTTCTAATTTCTAAACGTACATACAATCTAATAGTATGTAATCATACATATTTAACTGCTTTAGTACGAAAACACGATGTAATATAAGCTATTTCTTGTAATATCAGGTCACGGGTAAACAAACAATAAACGTTTGTGTGCCAATAAAATATTTCAACTGCTACAAAACGTATAATAAAAGCGTCTTATATCTTTCAAAATGGGAATATCAATTCGTTTGAATAAATGCAGATATTATTAAAATATTTTCACTAAGAATTAAATTTCCTTACCACCGTGGGTCGATGTCGTACAAAAAGTGACACCATAAGAGCTAATATTTAATAACATGTATATAGCTATGACAAACTTTCGACCTAAATGCAACCGACGCAAATTTCATCGAACCGGGTAGGAAATAAATGTCCTCGACTGTTGAGATAATTTGGCGACGCTATACTTAGTTTAGACAGAACGTGTGGAATTCCTTTGGCGCGCGTTCATCTTTCGACAAGACGGTCATTACCGCGCCATATTGTTTATTATTGCTATGCCTACACATACTGAAGATATTATGAATGCTGTGCTAAATGTTTCATAAAAACATGTCGGCTGGTTTAAATATAATTTATTAATATAGAAAAATAACGTATGTAAAATAATATTTTAGATGTTTAATAGATTGGTAGCTTAGTAAAGAAACGTAATATTAGGTAAATTCTTTACCAGCGAGCATAAATAGAGCGACATAAAGTATTTCAAGATCATAATAAATCCATTATCTCAGTCTTTTCCGATGTAAAGACGTTATTTGATTTTTATGAATTTTAGAACTAAAATATTCACTGATTATCTGTTTTGAAATTTTCATTAGTGTAGGTTTAGTACCATAAACACACTAAGGATCTCTCTGAGTAACCATTTAATGGCTGCCGAGTTCGGACCATTTAACGATTTGAATCCATTACCTTCTCGATGCCGTCATCTCCGTTGACGAGCACATCAAAGACGCCATTCTCGATGACGTAGAAGTTGTCGCCGTCGTCGCCCTGCCGGATCACGTATTCACCGGGCTCCGAGCGCTTCTCAAACATGGCGTCCAGCACCTAAACACACAGTAACATAAGATTCAATAATATACTTTTATCTATACCAATATTAGCGTTTGCCCGCTACTTCGTCCGCGAGGAATTAAAAAAAAGGATGGGTAGTAAGCACTATCTGTAACTGTATGTAATTTCAATAAGATATGTAAAACCATTGCAGAGTTATCGCGAAAATAAGCGAATCGAGCATGTTTCACGGGAACCTTGTACATTACCGAAATAATATGTAGCCTATGAAGCCTTTCGGGCTCTATTTTAGAGCTATGCTAGAACGTACTGAACCGATTTGAAATATTTAATACTATCCACGGGATGAAAATAACCTACGATGACTGCTGACGTGTACTTAAAAATAATTAACCAAATCAATTTCAAGACTCTTGATTGACACCCTGTTTACAAAGATTTTTTAGTGTGGTTTTTTTAAATTTAATTTAGGCATAAAAGTTTAAAACGCTTTACCAGTATAAAACAACATTCTTTAAAATATGCGAGACATATTCGTCTCTTTACCTTATGAGGTCATCGGAACGCGTATCATGAGAATATTTTTCAGTAAAACGTATACGGAGTACAATCAAAATAATTTCCCGTATTTTTTGTTGATTGTAGTGAACGACGCGTGACGTCATAGGGCAATCGGGGACATATTCAGCATAGATGCAGTACAGATTTTATCTTAACAAAGAAACGCCAAGTTCGCCATGGCTAACGAAACGAAATTTATAGTCTATGGACTATAAATTTTACTTTTAACTAATATTATAAATGCGACTGGATGGATGTTTGTTTGAAGATATCTCTAGAAAGGCAGAATGGATCTTGATAAAATTTTGCATAGATGTAAAACATAGCCTAAACGAACACATAGGCTACTATTTTTGTTTCCGCGCGGACGGAGTCGTCGGCAACAGCTAGTGTATAGTGTAAAAATATAGACTTAATTTAGTCTGTTTTAACATATAGCATTTGTAAAACTAGAGCTTGTATATAACCATATGCCACCTCTTTCCTTAACGTATACATTCAAATTCATTTATTCACAAAACGACCTCATGTTCCATGTCATTGCAATATTGAATTCATTTTCAATGAAACTAGTGTGGAGTTAAAACTTGTTACTTGGTTTATAAATGTAGTTTTTATAACGTTCTTAGTACAACGAAGAAAATAATTATGTGTTTATGATAATAGCTTCTCGTAACAAGCGTAAATAGAAACTAAGTTAACTGGGTCAGCATAGATTCTATTATAAGTTAGAAGTTTGATTTGATCAGAATCTATTAGGTGTGTCTGAACAATAAACAAGTTCATGTACCATGACTTCTATGTATAGTATTGAATTTTGTTACCACAGACATAACAGAAGTCTAGAAGTTTGAAGCCGAACAGGAAGTTGAATCCATTTCTAGGTCTTAAATTGTATATGTATACTAGCTGTCGCATGCAACTCCGAACGCGCGGTATTAATAAAAAAACTTAATTAGTAGCCTATGTGTTCTTCCAGACTTTTTTCTACATCTACGCCAAATTAAAGCGAGATCCATGCAGCCATTCTGGAGATACCTTCAAACAAACATCCATCCATCTATACATTCGCATTTATATAATAATATTAGTAAAAAAGTAAAATAGATAGGGTTTAAACATAACCACGAAACTATATTATGTATATACTTTTGTATTTTTTAACGTAGTGACCCAACATGTTAACTTAACTATAAAATTTTAATATCCCTTCTTCAATGTTGAAATAAAAATGATAGTGTGGGTACGGGTCCCCAGTTTACGATAATTATACATTATACAGTGAGCAACATGCGAAAGTTATAACGCAAGGGGACGTGCCTCGCCTAGCAAATGGTGACCGAGTCTTACACAAGTTGATGGAAAATGTTACAATGAAATACACAATCTATTGCATTAAATAGAAGATAGGAATAACAAATTTATACACTACCACGAAAAATATTAAAAATAAGCTCACGTCCACATTTTGGTTATGGCAACCAACCTCAAACTGAATACTATTTAACTGCCTGGAAAAACTGGAATATCCGTGTATTATTTCGAAAAAAAAAACCATTAAATTTCGCGAACAATGCATTTGCGTTACTTATAACGAATTTTAAAATATTTGTCTGTACGCAAACCGCCGTATTCTAACAGCATATTAAAGGCTATTTTCTTTAATCTCGTTATGACGAAATCGCGGGCGAAAGCTAGTCATGGTTATTATAATGAATATTGCTGGTTGATTCGATTTCCATTAATCACTATAAAGCATACCTGTTGCATCTGTTGGGCGTCGAGTGAGCGGAAGAGAAGTATACCGCGCACGGCTTCAGCGAGACGGGCGCGCTGGGCGTCCGACTTGGGGAACACGGCAGGCGCGCCCTCGTCAGAGTCATCTTCCTCCGGGTCATACGTCTCCGCGAACACCGACTTGCGACGGTTGTTGAAGCGCGCCACTGGCGGCTCTGTTGGCAAAATTCGGAATTGTTACTCCATGTTTAAGGAAGAACTAAAAGAAGCCTTACAATCCATTTAACTACCCAATGTCTACAACCCTAAGACTAACAACAAAAATGTGAAAATGCAGATATGGAAGGCATAGTAATAATTTACTTCACACAAAAATTAATTGCAGTGTCTCCGAATGACATCATATCGAAAAAAATATATAATAACAAGACTTACATTTAAATTTGTACCTGAAACACTTAACATGTTATATTCAAGAAATAAATAAACTAATTTGTCTCAATATTGCTTTGTAGACTCCTTATGTGATAACAATAGGCATATAGTATTATCACACTAAATGGTAACAATAAACACAAATGACATATGTAAATATCATTCAAGGTCTATTTAGCAGCTGTTCATATCAATAGATAGCTTACTATAACTACATTTGTGTATAAAAATAAATTAAACATATAGCAAATTGTTGTTCTAGCAATAGTTTGTACATTGTACATTTGGTTCTCAATGTACCATAATCGGGACTAAAATGCTTTATCAACTTTCATAATCTAAATAATAAAAGACCAAAATTCATTTGAAATTGGGTTATTATTTAAATGGAGTACTTAGGTTTTAGTAATTTTGTTCAATAAGAGACCTGTTATGGTCAAAGATGGGAGGAAATAAAATTAAGGGTTCACAGGGTCAATGAGAACAGCTATACGCATTAGGGTGTTCAACAAAACCAGAAAAATTTCAAAGGCCAATGAGAAAAAAGTTTAGGAATCTTTGCGTAATCATCTGTTAATGCATGATGCATTTAATCACTTGGCACAAGCTGACCACTTTCACGTCTTCTATTAAATATTAGCTTATATGATTTAATGGGACATTAGTGGCATCCAGCCAAATCTTAAACTAATACCATGTATTTGTAAATATCTTCCTAAGGTTTAGACATTTTCAAATAATAATTTAAGTCTCTGACAATTATAATTATAAAAAAAAACATGAACTATTTTTGAAATAAAATTCTATTTTGTATGTTTAATTTGTAAATAATTAACTAAGGGTAAAAAAGTTATGATTCATTTAAATTTATCAGGATATTATGAATCTATACTCAAAACAAACACATACAATTTTTAGTGATAAAGCACTTAGTTGCAAAATTATACATTAATAAAATCTTGTACCACAAAACAAAATATAACTTATTTTTATTTCCAGGCATATTAATGTGGCCAATGAAAACAAAATCTTAAAATAAATGAAAATCATTAACACTAAGCACTGTGACGCTTAGATTATAAATTATATTTATATGGTTGATGCTATAGCCATTGCACTGTAAATCTATAAAAACCCACCTTGCTCAAAATTGTATCGAAATTATCTCGAGTCTGTGATTTTGTAAGGAAATTAGTAAATGAGTACCTTCTTCGTCTGATATTATGGATTCATCGGGCGTGCCGGCGGATGGGCCCCTCACTATAGTAGTGGTCCTGTTGTTCTGTAACCTTGTGAAGAACTCGACGGCGTAGTTGATCACGTCCCCTGGCTGCTCCAGCAGATAGCTTATTGTGAATTCCAGTAAAATTTCTCTAAGGTCATCTGGGACTTGAATTCGACCGCCTTGAGGCCTGCTCATTTCTAACGGCGTCGCCTCGCTTTCTCGTTATTATCCCACACGGAGAATACTACAGCGACTCGTTAGATTAAAATTTTGATATCATAGCCATTGAATTAGCTCAAGCGACACACCAAAGAACAAATCTTACGATGGGGAAGTAGCACTACATACAAACGTTAGTAATAAATAAAACCACACTATTAAACTAAGACTTTCTCAAATAATAGTCCTTGCTACAGGAAATTAAATACAATGACACACTTTTCAGAAAAAAATCTTCGTCCTCCAGCCTGACAATTATAAAATCTCCTTTCACTGAAAAGTAAAAATGGCGAATTCTGGATTGCCCTACTTCACATCCATTCACATCACTAATCACTTCAATCGTTCAAAGTTCACGCCAAAGAGTTCACATCGCTTTTCAGGCATTGCCAGTACTAAAAATTTAAAATTTAGAGCAGATCTGACGAACCATAAAAAAAAATGAGTTGCAATAAACTGATCTTTTCCCCTATTTAATTACACATCTCAAATAAATATGGATGAACGAAGCCAGTTACTATCAAAGATTTTGCCAAACACATAAGGTTTGGAATATTTGAAAACATGTTTGATTGGTCGCCAACGGTCAATCAATGTTGCCATGTGAAATTTTTCAATTTCTACTGTACTCTTTTATATCTTTTTCAATTTTGATTTATTTTTTATTGTTTCACTACAGATTTTCATTTTTGCTATGTTAATTTTGATATGTTTATTATATTTTTTATTTATGTTACAGTTATGTTGTATATATTTTGACAAGACTGGCAGCCTTGGTAACATATATATGAACGACTTGTGGCTTTAGGAAGGAACTCAAAATATTAATTTTATAAAAGAAAACATTTATTTTTAAAGCCATTTATCCAATATCTTTTTGCGCACATAAGCATATTTACTTAGAATATTTTTTGTTGGAAATGCAACAATATTTACTTGTGTGTCCCAACGGTTGAAGTCCATTAATTCATTAGGTGGTAGGTTATCTGAAAATAAGTCCGGTTCTGGTATTTCTATACAATTGAGTCTAATGCATTCAAATTTTTGCAGGAACATACAAATATCTTGGATTGCTCTGTATGATAGAACTTCGCAGTTGTCTGACAGAACAGATATAGAACATCCGGGACATTCAAAGATTTTGTTGACAACAACCCCGGCCCATTTAAACAATATGTCGAATCGCACTTCATAATCTAACGACAGCCAAGGAACGGGTATAAAACTCTTGTCTGCTTCAACCGTTAACGCCCATGATTTGTAATATTCACTTAATATGATTTTATTTTCATAATAACCGACTCGCTTTATTATTTTTTTCATCTCCAAATCGTTAAGTTTTGTACAAAGTGTTTTCGTATTGTAGGAGAATTGTGCCTGAAAGAAGTATTTATTTATTAATGCAAGGGTTACATTACCGTAAAACAAAATACGAAATTTAATAAACCATTTAGTTATAGATGTTTCAAACGTGTGGTCACATTGTAACTAAAAATTGTGGTAGAATATTTGTGTTGTCAGATGCAAAAAAAAATACATGTAAAGAAAAATCGCATAAAACCTCATTAGTGTTGTAAACGTCAAATATGTCAAGTTACAAAGCACAGTTTATTTATAGCTAATATAATTAGATCAATTAAGCAGTGTAAGCACATGATGATGATGATGATAAAATACTTACTTTTAATTCCTTAAATGTACATCCCTTTTCACCGAGTTGCCGTAAATAGTCCACTATTTCGTCATCTGCAAGCTCCACAACATTCGTCTGATCCACGACATTAAAACTGAAACCAATCATAATAATGAATAAACAAATATAAGACCCAATTTTGCCATTCTTTGGAAAGAAAAAAATCATATATTTATGATTTCTTTTGTTTTCGTACGAGTAAGCTAACATTATGTTTTTCGTCAATCTAGATCACTTCATAAGACGAATACTGCACATTTGCATGCTATTATTAAAAAAAATACCTTTGAATCTCCTTCATACAGCTTTCTATGTCTATATCTTCATATAATTCAGAAAACTTCTTTATATTACATTTTAATTTGCAACCGGCTAATCCAGATTTAAGAGAATATTTGTTTTCTATATCAATGACATTTAGTTGTTCCTCCTGCATTATAGTACCAGAATAACCCGATATGGCCGGAGTTGTGAGTGAAATTATGTCAAAAATATCACAAGCTAGCAATTCACAGAATATACAATTCATTTCGGGCGAGCCTTTGATTCCGTCAACAGGAACTTCCGTTTCCAAACTATCGCCTAAAAGTTCTATGAATTCTGAATTTAGTCTGCAAATCCATCTTCGTTGATAAAACGCGGATATTTTATAAGATGATTGAACAATATCTTCTATTTCAACTCTATGCATGTGATTATTCAATATTTTGTCTCTAGCCGAAATCGCACCACTTTTTCGCAGCTGTTCTAACGCAGTTCGCAAAAGAACTTCAGGATGCTTTTTAAATATCGCATAAACTTTTGAAGCTATATCAGAGTTTATCGTATTTTCATAAGACAACATAGTGGTCATAATTATTCCTTCTTTTAAAGATGCAAGCACACGATCAGAATCCACCGGGGTTCTGTACATATTAAACGTTTTAACAGCAGACGAAGCTGATGTTGTAATATTGAATTTTTTATTAAAATCTTCCAAGTCTAAAGCTACACAAGGTACTCTCTGCGTGAAAGATTTACTTCTAGATATAATGCACATCGCTCGCACAAGTTCCAACATTGGTATTTTACATTCCTTGAATAATCTACTAAGGTTTGCCGAGTAACGAATGCGTAACCTTTTCAACAAGCCTTCGTACTTTTGTATTAGATCTGGTCGTCGTCTTACTTCGTTCAATATGCATTCTTTTTCGTGCATTAAAATCGAGTTAGATTCGAGAGCTGCCGCTCTTCTGTGGCAAGCGGTCGCAGTTTTCTTATCATCGTGCATGTATAATATTTCCTTGGCGACTGCATTCCTCACTCGTAGACAATCGGGATGCGATGTTGGACTCATTATAGTTATCGCGGCTTTACATAACATTATTATTTTGTCTTCCCATTGTGACCATTTTATTAATGAATCAGGTTGCCTCCTTTTGCGTCTATTCGACGCGAGCTCCGTGTTAGCCGCCTTTGGAGGCTTTTTCTTAACCACCGGTCTCAGCTTGGGCTTCTTGATTGTTTCTGATTTTAGTTTTTTAACTTTTTTCTTCTTCCGCATCGGCGGTTGAGTAACTTTGGCGGCACGGATGTAAAATGTTCGCCACAATCGTGGTATGTCCATAAAGAAACTGGAGTCGAAAGCGCACGGGCCTAAACCATCTCCGTAACGCTCTCCATTGTCATATAACTGTACATCGTCAGATTTTCTTACTGGCGGCTTTATCTTCTTCCTATCCCGTTTTATAACTATTTCGACGTTCGTACTAGTACTTATATTATAAACGTCGTTCCAATAAGTTGTTACGTCTTCAAATGATTTGAAATTGTAAGATTTCTCTAGTTTTCCTATATCAGTATTCGGTTTTGGCCAAACACCTGTCGTGTCTAACACTTTGGCACGTCGATTGACATAGAACAAGTAGCTTAGAAGATTGCCTTCGTAATCAGCGGAGGGTAAAGGCACCGTCTCTGAGATTAGCTGAATAAGACCCATCATGGCGAGTGCCTTTAAATTAGATCTTATCGAGTTTTGCAAGCTCTTTGATTGCAACAGTCTTTCGTATAAGTCAGATGGTGCGTCTTTAAGCTTGATGTCGAGCAAATTATCGCTTATTTTCATATGAGCTATGTCCGATATGGCAACATTACTTATATTGCCGACGGCAAAACCGATCGTCATATGAGGAACTACACTTAAAACGGATGCAAATCCCTCGGGAAATTCATTTTTAATATCACTAAAGTACACAACACTTATCACAAGCTCATGTAGTTTTTGGATTTTCATATACCTAGGGTATGCAAATTGGGACAGAGGTCGCGTAACTCCTTCTGTTGAAGCCGTTTTAACCTTTGTCTTTTTGCTTGTAAGTGCTTTTATACTAATTTCCTTATATTTACTTATGATAACAGGATCATTGCTTTTCATTAATGGATCACAAACGAGTGTTGTATACTTTTGATGGAAGCCAGGCCATTTTATCTTGTACATTTTGACTTGTCCGTCTTTGACTAACTTTTGTACGAATGATTTCAAAGCTTTGGTATCCATTGGTGGTTCACCTATTTCTTTAGATACTAAGGTGCTCAAAGTGTGATAACCAGAAATCGCTCGTTTATCACGAACGACCTTCAGAAGTCCATTTGCAAATTTAAGTTGTCGCAATGTTGGATTCTTTTTGGAATTAAGTAACGATTCGTTTGACATATTTTCTAATCCTTCAATGACTTTCACTTCAGTAATATCATTGTCTACATCTTCTGATACTTCCTCAGGAATTGAATCCTTATCATTTTCTTCAATTTTCATTTTTTTCGCTGGTACTTCAACTTCTTCTTTGACATCTTCAACATTTGATGTGTTCATAAAATCTAAAAATTTCTTCTTCTCTTCAGCATATTGATTGTCTATTTCTGTTGTAGCAGCCACTGCAATGTATCTAGAAATTAGAAACAATGACAATTTTATTGTTAATACTCACAAAAAAAAACTGAATAGCCTTTGTTCTTCCAGTCTATGTTCTACATTTAGGCCAAATTTCAGAATGATCCGTTTAGCCGTTCTGAAGATAAGTAGAAACAAACATCTATCCATCTAAACTTTCGCATTTACATAAGTTTTTTTTTTTATGAAAGAGAAGGGGGTAAACAAGTGGCCGGAACACTGAGGTGATTAACGACACCTATGAATAAATAATTCAGTAAAAACACTATTCATCATCAAACTCAAATACTTAGTTTTAGATTATTCTATAAAAAGTTAATTAAAAAAAAAGATTAAATCATGTTTTGTTAAATGTTTACCTTGCAGTCCTCTGTCTGCCTTTGTCTTCTAAAAATTCCTTAACAATATTCTTAGATTTTAGAGTTCTGCAAATTGTTCTACTAGTGTAAAACTCAATACCCAATATCTGAGCTAGTTGTATCTGTGTCAGTCCTTTTAGACCTGCATCTAAGAATCTTTCATATGCCTGTCTGAGTAAACTGACTCCAACTTTGTACTGACATTCTAAAGGTGCAGCATTACTCTCGTCATCCGAATGATCAGACTCTTCGCTATTTATTTCTAAACTAATGTATTTCTTTTTAACAAACACTTTTTGCTTCTTGTTCTTTGATACTTCATCAATTTTCAATTGCCTTTCTTCCTGAAAAAATATTACCAACATTAGTTCATTCATTATTATGTGTATCTCAA